GAAAATACAGGCGTTAGCGTCCCAGTGGCCTAGTGAGTAGCGGCAGCGTCCAGGCTGGTACTGCGTATAGCAGCTTGGTAGCAGCATGGCCAGCAACTCGCTAGCGCGCTCCCCCTGGGGCGTGTTAGCGGGAGGATGGGTGTAGCGACACATAAGTGCCACGTCTTCCCTCCCTAGCGAGTAGAGGTGCTCTCCATGGTGGATAGCACTCTTCAGTAGCGTGCCATCGGCACCCTTGCCGTAGCGGGGGTTAGGCCCCTTGCCTTTCCCCTTCTCATGGCGCTGGTCCCAGGAACCCAGCGGCCACAGATCGCGGTCAATAGCGGACCACGAGAGCTCGAGGTACCAGTTAGCGTGGGCCCCCGGGGGGGGTCTGGCTCGTCCCTTTAGCGCCACGCTCACTGGCGTGCCCTTAGCGAAGCGGACGTTAGCGGGCATGCCCCCCGCCTGCTGGATAGCGCGGTCCTGCTGGAGCTCGCGGCGTAGCAACTCCAGGTAGCGGTCGGGATCCTCGAATAGCGTGCCCCACGTGTAGTCGAACACATTGATTGTAGCGGGCGGCTGGCCCTTGCCCTCGGCCGGCTTGCCCTTAGCGCCCTTGCCTCGGCCCCGGCTCGGGCTGGTAGCGCGAGGGGGCGAGGGGCTAGCGGCCCTAATCTCCATGAACCTCTTAGCGGCCGACTCTGCCGGCGTAGGGTCCATGTTAGCCGGTGCCGTGGTGTCGGCGGCAGTAGCGGCCACCGGTGCCGGGTCGACACTGCTGGTAGCGGTGGCGTCTCTGGTAGCGGCCTCCTCTGCGGCCTGCAGGGAGGCTTTGCTAGCGGCCACCGCCTGCTGGTACTCCAGCTCGGCGGCCTGCTCCTCCTTAGCGAGCCGCTCCGCGGCCTCCTTCCGCTTTTGCTCTAGCGCGGCCGCTGCGACTCTCTGGTCGTGCTCGGCCTTTTTCTCTAGCGCCAGCTTAGCGGCTGCGGCCTCCGCGTCCTTGCGGGCCTTGGCCTTCGCAGCGCTAGCGGCCGCATTGGCAGCGGCGAGCTGGTCTAGCTGGGCCTTTGCTGCTGCAGCGGCGGCCTCTGTAGCTGCGAACCTCTGCGTGAGGCCCGCGGACATAGCTTCGTCCTTTGTAGCCCTGTTGCCTCGCGGGTGCAAGGCCCGCACGTTTCGTAGCGCCTTCCTCCGCTCCTTAGCTCCTTCCCGCAAGACGGACCTAGCGCAAGCACTGGCTCCTCACCTAGCTCCTGTGTTCCCTGGGTGGCCAGACGAGGGGTCGCCCGGCCCCGGTTTCCTAGCGCCTGCCTTCGCTCCTTGCTCCTCCTGCAGGACACTAGCGGAACACGAAAGCACAACACAGGCAACAGCAAGTGACATGTAGCAAGAACGTGGTTCCCTCCACTCTCTTCTTTCTCCCGCTCCCCCCCCCCCCCCCCCCCCCCCCCCCCCCCCCCCCCCCCCCCCCCCCCCCCCCCCCCCCCCCCCCCCCCCGAGCACACCCCCTTTAAAAACTAGCGGCGTTTCGCAAGGGAGGGAAGAGAGAGAGAGAGAGGGAGACAGAGGGGAAAGGAAAAGAGGGTGCCGACCTAGCAGCCTTTCTAGCCTCAGTGCGAGTGCGAGTTCGGCGGCTTAGCACGCCCTGCGCTCAAGGATGACTGCTAGCGGACCCCGTTGCGTGATCCTCTGGGGCCTCGTCATCTTCCGAGTTAGCGAGCGATCCTTCGCTAGCGTCCCCTTCGGAGATAGCCCCCTGGTTCGGCCAGCATAGCTTGCACACATGTGTGTACTCATGCGGCTCCGGAACCGAATCAAAAACCCTAGCGTTGCGGAAGCACGCCGCTTCCCCATCCAGCAACCTGTAGCGCCCGCTTTGTGCAGGCGGAAAATGGCACCTGGGACCTCTACGATTACATAGCTGCCCTGGCTGCGGTCGGGCACCCTGGCCTGCTTCTTAGCGGGCCGTTCCACGACCTCTGCAGAGGCCTCGGAGCTACTCCCGGCCACTAGCGGTTCCGCGGGCTCGTCCGGTCCCTCGGGAACCTCTAGCTCTTCTGCCTCGGTCGGGACTCCTAGCAGGCCCTCCATCCAGATCTTCCGCAGCCTCGCCGCCATGTGGATAGCCTGGCTGTGGGTTAGCTTGGCCCTCTCTTCCAGCCAGGGCTCGAGGTCCGCGGCGATTTCACGCTCGTCGAGCGCCTCGTAGCGGTCGTCCCCCCTAGCTGTCTTAGCGAAGAGAGCTTGGAGACGGGACACCCTACCCGCAAAAGATCTAGCGTACACGTCGGACCCCTCGGGTTTCCAACGCCCTAGCAGATCCTTGTCTTGCGGGGGGATCTCCTTTAGCGCCAAACCTGTTGGTAGCACCGAGCGCTCACTGTGCTCCGTCCAATAGCCCTGGCCCTCCCGTGGGTAGCCCATGATAGCCAGCAGCCCCGCGGTTGCCACCATAGCGTCCGCATAGGTAGCCATCTTCTTCTCCAGTTGCCCCGCCCGGCCCAGCCGCGGCATGAGGTAATCCCGGGCGTAGTTAGCGTGGGCCTTGAGGAGGTCGAAGCCGGTCACCAGCCAGCTCTTAGCGACCAGAAAGGCGTGCTCGGACACCACGACCGGTAGCTCCTTGACCCTTCTCGTAGCGCCGGAAGTCTTGATCTTCCGGAGGATGGTGGTGAGTCGCCCCTCCACCATCACTAGCTCGGCCGGCAGGATAGCCTGAAGGTCCGACCATCTTAGCGTGGCCCAGACCTTGACCAACTTAGCCCAGGCCCAGATCCGCCAGCCTGCGGCCAGGGCGGGGTTGATGACCACGAGCTCTAGCTGCACCAGCATGTAGACGGGATAGCGGGGCGCTCTCTTGATCAAGGGGGCCCCCTCCGCTAGCTGCTCCACAATGCTGTCCTTAGCGGCCCAGACCAGGCGACCAAAGGTGGTCCTTAGCTCCACCGGGAAATCGGCCACCTTCTCCATCCAGGAGATAGCCTTGCGAATAGCTTCTGGGACCGAACGGCCGCAGGGTTCATCACTCCTAGCGAGGAGGTAATCCACCAGGTCCGCGGCGGTGCCCGGGGGCGGCCTGAGCTTAGCTGCGTGGAGCCATTGGCGCCACTGCCTGTAGTAGCTCAGGTAGCGCTTCAAAGTCGAAGCCCGGGTCTTCCCCGGAAGCAACATAGCTGCCCTCGCGGGGTCCAGACTCCCGTGCAGCTTAGCGAGAACCGGGGCATGTATCTCTAGCAGCTCTTCACGGAGCTTCCTTGCCCAAACCTCTAGCAGTCGCTCCTCTCTAGCCGCACTGATCGTGCTGGGCTATAGCGTCTTCCGATTCCGCTCCCCGGGGGGAGGTCTTAGCGGCGCAGGTGGCTGATGCACCGCGTCTTCGACCTCTTCCCTTGGAGCAGGTAGCGGTGGCATCCGGGCTCTCCAGGTTATATCGTCCTGGAAGTAGCCGTGCACCCTCTGATAGACAGTAGCTTCCTGCCGCGCTTCTTGCAGCCAACAGTAGACACCATCCCATAGCCACGGCTGGTATGGAATACCTAGCTCTCGAGCTAGCTGCTTGGCGACATCCTCCGCGTCGTCCAGATCCACCACTGCTAGCTCCAAGACCCCAAACCCTTGGCTGGAGAGATGCCGGTAGGCCCTGTCTAGCGTGCGCCTACGTTCCTGCTGGACCGTAGCCTGCGCCTCTAGCTCTGCCTCCATCTCCCAGCCCTCGAAGCGCACTCCCGTCTCTTCGGGCTGTGGGTCGCTAGCTGGGGTCTGCGGGACCCACGAGGGTACCTCCCCGGAAGGAGCCCCCGCGGTATCGTCCCCCCTAGCGTGGGAACCTCGGTAGGACACGAAGCACTTAGCGGGGGCGGGGAATCCCCTACCACAGTAGCGCAGTCGACGGCCGTGGCGGCTGCGCCATCTGGCGTGGTCGGCGCCAGGGTAGCGTCGCTGTCCGACATGGCAGCGCACCCAAAGCAGGGCTAATTAGCCCTGTTCCCCTTCCTACCCCCACTCGAAATTTGCCCCCCAATAGCTGGGGGCCTTTCAGCACAATGGCCACGGAGTAGCACCGCTTCACCGGCCATGTGCAGACACTCTAGCAAACAGACAAGCTTCGTTCTGTTTAGCTTCAGAGGAAAACCCCTTCGACGTTTTCTAGCGAAACACCTTCGATGTTTCCCAAAGGGATACTGGCGCTAGCATACACTGTCGTACCTCGTCCCTCGGCACGAGTGCGATTGGTTCTATGTGAAAGGTAATGATCGACATCTAGAGTTCATGAATCGGAGTGGAGAAGAAGAAGACAAAGAACCAGTCTTGACCGTGCTTGCGTGCATAGATCGGAGTACAGGCATGATGCAAGCCATCCCGGTGCCCAACAAGAAGCATGACTCCCAAGTCTATGCCGCAAAACAAGTCCTAACCTTGATCAGCTACCTGAACTATGCAGATGTACAGCTTCGGCATGACAATGAACCGGTGATGCAGTCATTGGCCGATATGGTCTGCAAAGCCAGAGCTCGGCATGGATTGGCGACACGACCAAGGCCATCTCAGCAGCCATATGTTCATGAAAGCAATGGTGTTGTTGAACAAGCCGTTCAAAACCTTAGGGTCATGGCTGTTGTTCATCTTGAGCAAGTGCGTGAACATGCTGGTCAAAGTTTTTCGGCAAGCCAGGACATTGTGGGCTGGGCTCTGGTCCACGGAGCTTTTCTTCATAATACTTACCGAGTGCAGGGCGGAAGTACCCCATAGGAGAAGTGCTTTGGAGTTCAGTTTAAGATGAAGCTAGCTCGATTCGGGGAGACGGTGATGTGCGCTCTGTCCACTGCGCATACCAAGAAGGGAAAGCCTAAGTTTGTGAAGATGTTGTTCCTGGGCTGCACCATCCAGAATAACATGTATGTCTGCAGGAACAGCCTGGAAGTTTACTTGTCACTTGTCGAGCACAATTCGAAGGCTACCTCCATCGCAACAGTGGGCCGGGGACCTCCTGAAAGCATTCAAAGGAAAAACTTGGAAGTATGGCCTCGCAGTCCTTGGTAGTCGATTGGTCCCAGGCCTTCCACGGCAAGATCCATCAGAAGCTTCTGTACCAGTTTCGGCATTGCCTGCAGTAAGCGCCGAGCGAAAGCCCCAGTCCATTGACCCAGGCAACGTTGAAGCAGCGAGTGATCCCGAAACCGAGAAGAATTCCAGTGAGGCTTCATCATCAGGGTCCTCAACTGGGTCTGAGAGTCCTATGGGTTCTCCTGATGTTGGGGCACCCGCTGCAGCTTCACATGTCCTTGAATCCCCTGAACATCGTAAGCAGGATGACATGGAAGTTTCAACATCAGATGCTAGATCAAAGCGTACATCAAGTGCGGCGTTGTTGGCCCCATCCGGTCTCTCAGGAGAAGTTGATCGCAGATTGAAGCAAAGGGTTCAGCATATCGTTGTTGAAGGAGAAGAGTTGCTTGACCTTGATGAAAAGATGCTAGACTTCGAAGCGGATCTAAATGTTCACCAAGACTGGTGGTTTGATGCTGGAGGCCAAGGGGGAGGGGAGGTTCTCAGGGAACGATGGGCAAAAAGGACTGAGGATGAAGGACCCCCACAATGCTTTGAAGAGGACCTGCAATCCCTTGACCTCGAGGCTGAAGCGTTTGAAGCAGAAAAGCTCTTAAAGATGAAGGTCCTTGAACCCACTCAAGAAGAGCCTCCATCGGAACTTGTGCTGAACACCCGCTATGTGCATGACTGGCTTTCGAGATGGTTGGGTCAGACGGGCAAGACTGGTATCCAAAGAACTAAAAGTTTGGGATCCTCATCGTATGGATGTCTTCGCGCCCTCTACGTGCCCAGCCATGATAAAACTAGTGCCAGCCTTATTTGCCACGAAGTACGAGAGTGAAGAATGGCACCTGTGGAGCATCGACTTTAAGGATGCTTTCCGTACTGTTCCTCAGCGGTCTTTGCTATATGTCAAATTGAATGGTCAGTACTTGAAAGTCTTTTTTTTTCTTGTCTTGATGTGCCTGCCGGGTCAAAGGCAGGCAGGTGCTTGGTGGTCTGAGCAGATCACAGCCGATATATTGGGCGCAGGGCTACCGCTGAATCCTTCATGCCCCGTGGCTTTCGGTAACAGTCAGGCAGCATGCGCACTGCATGTTGATGATGGAATTCTCGGAGGTAGGCTTCAGGAAGGGAACAAAATTCTCGGAAAGCTGGGTGAGAAGTATGTGATGACTCTTACGGGCCCAATTCGAGATCCAGGAGAGCAAATTCGATTTTCGAAGCGGTTGTTCGTGATTGAGGAGGCAGGCCTTGCAATGTACAGTGACCCCAAGTACTTGCAGAAGATGGCAAAGCTCTTAGGCATCACCCGACCTAGGATGCGCAAGGTGCCATGCACTCCTGAATGGTGCACCCCGGAGCCGTGCCCTCGGCACTGAGGAACATGCGCTTTTCAAATCCGTTGTCGGGTGCCTTCTTTATCTAGCTCCTGATCGGTGTGATGTGCACTTTGCTGTGTCTGTACTTGCCCGAAAAGTTCAAAACCCTACTCAGAGAAACATGCAGTTTGTGAAGTATCTTGTTGAGTACTTGCTTTCGACGTCGGACTACCACTTGGTGATGAAATGGACAACGCCCGGCAAAAGCATCCGAGACCAGCGTGAAAAGCCAATCCCTTGCCATTCGGTACAGCCGATAGTGATTGGGCAGGGTCAGTTGCTGATAGGAAGTCCAATACTGCAGTCCACGTGTACCTCAACTCTGTTTTGGCACACAGCTTTGTGAGAAAGCAGGACACGATTGCGCTCTCGAGCTGCGAAAGTGAGCTCATCAGTGCTGTTTCAGGCTGTGCGGATGGCTTGTATATCAAGAGCACCGTGGAAGCCATGACCAAGAACAAATGCAACATGATGGTCCTTGTTGATAATGCGTCAGCGAGAATGATTCTATACAAGACCGGAACATCACGAGTACGACATCTTGATTGCCGTCTTCTTTGGGCTCAGTCCAAATGCAAGGACGGTGTCTTCTCAGTGAAGCCTATCCCGACGCGTCTCAACACATCCGATGCTGGAACTGAACCTTTAGGTGCTGAACGGCTGCGACTCCTTCTAGGGATTGTGGGATACCATTCTCGTGAAGGTATTCTAGGTGCCAAAGAGTTCCAGCGCCAAGGGTATGCGCACAACATCGGCAAGGTGACGAAATCTCAGCGAAAAGCCATGCTTGGAGTGTTGATGGTGGTGCTTCAGAGTGAGGGTGCGCATGCCCATGATGCTGATCCCACAACAAGCTCAACATTGCAGCGGATCCATGACATGCTTTCGATGCTCCAAGTGTGGATTGAAATGTTCATGGTAGAGAAGGACATTCAAAGTTGGACGGTCTTTATCTTTGTCGTCATCTTCACATTGTCCATGCTTTCATTCTTTGTCGGGGTGATCGTTGGCCGTGCATGTTTTCCCAAGAAGACAAGTGGTGCTATTCAAATCATTGAGAAGAAGACCGAAGTAGAGAAGATCATCGAAACAGCATCTTCCTCCTCAGCCCCAGCTACTGAACGCCTTGAGCCGACTTTTCCAGTGGATACCAGCACAAAGATTGCCATAACGAAATTCGGTACATGCTATCATCGTATCAGTTGCAAACAGTTGAAGAAGTTTGAAGTTCATGTTCTCCGTCCGTATAGTTTCTGTATTCCTATGGGTCGATGAAACTCCTAGCCAGCCGAGTTGGGAGTAAAGTGTATTTTCAGAACGATGCATTTCGCATTCAGGTCAGTAAAGCCTGAGTGTTTTTTGAGTTGCGTCAGAATACAGCTTGATAGCGAAGCTATAAGCTGAGGAGAGGTGCTAGATGTACATCAACCTGTGAAGGCGTTTTGTGCTAAAGGAAAAGTTGGGAAACTTTGTAGGAACGGACGAGTGCGTCGCTGCGCAGCTCCAACACCTTTCAGTGCAGCACCGTGCTCTCCTCCAACTGCTCCCTGGCATCCATGACCTGCAGGTCTCGTGGCTATTGCTGCTGTTCTGCGTCACCTCGCGTGCACTACTGCCTTCGCCTGCTCCCACCAGCACTCACGGCTGGTTTTGCGGCGGAACATGACCACAACATCCTGAGCTGCCTAGCCCAGCTGCTCCACGTTGCTCCCGGCGAAGCCCACGGCGCCGACCCCCTTCCCCAATCCGCAGCCGCGCGTGCAAACCTGTGATTGCGCCATGTGCCGCTGAGCACGCGCCTGCGGCATACTTTGCATCCTGGGCAGACCACGCCATTGCTCGCTTCCTTGATGACGCAGCGTCTGCCCCCTCACTCCCCCGCTGTTTGAGCTCTCTTGCCGGTGCGGTCCGCCTTCTCCGCGACCATGGCTTCCAACCGCCTGGATTCGGCGACCTGCCCCCGCATCCCCCCGTTGCTCCAGCTGACCCCGACGAGCCTGTCGACACCACTCGAGGTTGGCAGCGGCCGGCCTCCCGTGCTGTCGACGATAGCATCGCTGGCCGCTTCCGCGCAATGCTTGACCCTCCTTCCCTCGCCCTGCTCGAGTCCCAGTCGGGGCCTTTTGCTTCGAGGGTTTTTACTGCCTTGCCTTCCAGCCAGGAGCTGACTTTCGACTCGCCTGTTTTCCGTGCTTTGCTGCTCCGCCGGCTCCGCTTGCCTTTGCCGCTCGACGCTGCAGCCTGTCGCTGCCGTCGCCCCGTTGACCCCCTCGGTGACCGCGCTGCCTGTGGAGGGGCGTGCCAGCGGCCGTGCCGTTGCGGCCAACGGGGCTTCAGCTGCCCGCTGCGCTGGGGCGGGAGTTCTTTGTGCTACCGCACTGCTTGCCCCCGCTCCGGCATCCTGCGGTCCCGCGGCTTCCCGCTCGAGCGAGCTGCTGCCCGTGTTTGCCGCGAGGCCGAGGCTACAGTTGCCAGCAATGTCCTCGTGCGGGACCTCAACATCCACCCTGCGCGCCTCGATGACCGCCGCATCGAAGTCATCGCAAATGGACTCCCGCTTTGGGGCGGAGCACAGCTTGCTGTCGACACCACCCTTGTGTCGCCTCTCGATGCCAGTGGAGCTGCGCGCCGGCACCCGGAGCTACTGCGGGCTCGTTGTCCTTGCACTCGAGGTCGGAGGCCGCTGGAGCACAGAGGCTGCCCAATTTGTCCGCCTCCTCGCTCGCTGCCGGGCCCGCGCCGTCCCTCGCCCGCTGCGACCTGCAACCATCGCAGCCTTCACCTCCCGATGGTCTGCCGGTCTGCCCTGCTTGCCTGTTCGGCCGCCAGAGCCTTTGGTGCCAGTCTGCTTGGTTTTTCCCTTGCCGGCACTGCCAATGTCGACGGCGACCAGCCGCTGCTCAGCGAGGTTCTTTCTTCGACTCGCTTCAACGAGACCCCGCCCCTTGCCAGCCGTCTGCCACCGCGCCCTTGAAAGCGCCTTGCCGCCTGGACTTGACGCCGTAGGACGTCGCCTTGGGTTTGGGCCTGCTGCACTGGGACCGCGTCGCGGATGGTCGAAAAAGGTGTGTACCTGAAAAAATAGAAACAAATAAACAAAAATCACACGCGGATTGCAAGGAAAGCGGTACAAGCATGCAGCTGATACCACGTGCCCCGGCATCCAACTACAAATGGATGTCCAGCACCCAAACCCCCAATACCCTGCACATCCTTTCGGTTAACCTATGATATTTTGTTTCCGGAAACGTCCGGTCGAGCTAGGGTTTGAAGGCCTGCCGTCGCCAACCAGAGGAGGGTCCGTGTGGGGCACCAAACGGCTAGCGTGGGGGCAGTTGGCTGGCCGGGAACTCCTCGAGCCACCTGGCGTCAGCGAGGTTCCATGCAGGTCGGGCTCGGTGCTGTCGCCGAGCTCGGCAGCAGGAGGGAGTTCAAGTAGCGAGGCAGCAAACTGCAAGGAGGCCAGACCAGCAGGCTTACCAGGCGTTAAGGCCGTCGGGCGGAGGTGCGCAGATACGGCTTCGGCTCGCTGCGCCAAGAATTTTTTCTTTTTTTCCGCACGCACCTTTTACGACTGCGCAAAAGAGTCCGGTCCCCGTGCACGCTGCAAACTACGGCAGGCGGCTCGGGGTGGGGGGGTTGCGTCGTGCAGGACGTCCCCGAGCGTGGGGAGCTGAGAGCCAGGCATGGCCCCAGCGATGTACGGCGTGCCGAGCAGTGTTGCAGCAAGTGTGCTTTGCAAAGCAACACTGAGCAGGCACCACCAGCGGCGCAGCCAGCCCTGGGTAGCAGCACCGCGCAGGGCAGCAGGAGCGTGCTGAGCGCGAAGGCGCACCAGTTGCGTGACCAGGCGGTGCGATTCAGAACTCCAGCGTCCGCCGGCCTCGCACGCGAGGATGCAAGAAGGCGCTGGGGCCCCGGGCGCAGCAACTCGGGGTACACTGCGCGCTTGCGCCGCTCAGCGACAGCGATCACACCAGGTGGCAGCTTGTGTTTTGGAAGGGCTGGCGCGAAGGTGCGCATGCTACAACAGATGTTGCCTTGGCGCCGGTACAGCACCGCGATTCGGGAGGGGGGCTAGGATGTAACTGTCGGCAGAGTAGGCTGGCTAAGGCTTCTTCTGCGGGGTGGAACTCGGACGGCATCGCGCGCCACTCGGGCTGCAATGCCAAAGAAAACATTATTCAGAAATGCAGCCGTTGCATGAATATTTGTTTTTCATATCAACTCTTTCATCTGGTTTGTTCTTTCATCCTAGTAAATCTACAGGCACGGGGCTGGCAAGCACGGGGGAAGGCCGATGGCTCGGCCAGCATCGACACTCGCTGCACCGGAGATCGGCAGGAAAGGACGCTGGTCGCGTAGGCACGGGCAGCGGCAACGGCGAGAGGAATTGCACGCCCTCTTCAGTTAGGCGTTCCGGGTGGCAACTTCGGTGCACCACGGGCCGCCAGATCCGCAGCGACGTGATCCTTCAAGTGGGTCCAGGCGACGAATACCGCGACAGTACAGGGCAGTGAGCCTCAGTGAGCGGCAGCGAACGTGCCCACGACAGTTCGGGAGACAAGCCTTGCTCGCTGCGAGGGCGCCTGCGTGCGAGTGCAATAATAAGCACGTGTCGCAGGCCCGGACGCCAAACGCTGCCAGCCACGTGTGGTGTCCAGTTGGAGTTCATGTTTCTTGTCCGTACGCAGCCTTTGTCAGGAGTCCAAGCGGTCCAGGCGCACGAAGCTGCAAGCTACGGCATGTGCTACACGGATGCACGAGGCGAACTTCAATGCAAAGGCTTAAGCGAGCCGCGCCGGTAGTCCAAAAGCCAGCGTTCATCAGCAACACCGGGCGTTTTGTTCCACGCACTATTTTTCAAGTGCACGACGCCGTGTGCTACGGCAGCTGCCAACACGGCGACTGTGACGCAACGGCCTAGGCGTAGGCACCGTGCCGGTCGACGTCTGGGCTCCGGTGGCGAGGGCCGGTGTGCATCAGCAAAGACCTCGTGAAAAGCAGGCGGTTCACCAGCAGCACCGGGTTCAGAATCGGCAAACAGGTCCAGGAGGATGCAGCAATTGTATGCTGGGAAGCCACAGCCAGCATACCGCTCCGTTTTTGCACCCACGCAGCTCTGCCAGCATGGTGCTCTCTTCGTCCTCATCGGCCGGGTGCGGAGCCGGAGTGGTCAACAGCTCAGACCAAAACGGGGGAGAAAACCCGTCAAAGAAACACTACCCCTTCGCGGGTGTCAACGAGCGGGCGCGTAAAGGCCAAATCCGGGAGGCTGTTAAACAAGCAGCTTATCAGCCCAAGAACACGAATAGGCAGTGCCACGCGGCGGATGTCTTTTTTCCCGAACTTTTATGCCTGCACGCCGTCCATCCGAAGTCCATCTAGCTGTGCCCGCGCACGCTTAGGCGCGCCGACGACGGCTAGCTGCGCAGCGGCAAAGAGCTCGGCCCCGCCGTTTCATGCGGTCCAGCTCCGGGCCCGGCGGCGGACTCGCATGCAGTGAGCTCGCTTGCGCCCCTCAGCAGCATGGCGCCGTCGCGTGCTGCAGTGCAGGGTCGGCTGGCCGGTTCGGGTCGTCCGGTCTGAACTGGGACCGCCAAGTTGGGTACGCTGGTAAAAAGGCGTGGAAGAAAAAAAAAAACATTCGTTGCCGCCAATGATGATGCAGTGTTCGCCTTGACACATTGTGTTCTGGAACCCCGAGCGTGCTGCCTTTATTCGCCCCTGCTTGGGCCCAGCTTGCGAGACTTGGGCGATTGGCCTCCAGCGCACAGGACGGCAAAACTTCGTTCGTGATCTCTTCATTCACGTTTTTGGTGTACGAAACGAACCGTCCCCATCGACCACCCACGGCTCAAAGTTTGTCACTCTCCTCCATGCTCTGAGCCCGGCAGCTCGGCACGGGGATGGATCGCATCTACGGCAAGAACAACGGCGGTGTCGACAGCGAGCTGCGCTCCGCACCCCGCTCGATAAGGCGGTCATCAAACGTTCCGGGTGCATGCTGAGGTCGCGCACTGAACCATTCCAATACGCTGCACCCAACGGTGGCCCAAATACCGCAAACTCGTGCTGCCGGTGTTGAGGGGGACGTGGGGCGACTGACAACATTCTACGCACCGACGACATCGACAGATACGACGGTGAGGTGAGGGTTGGCTTGCACGAGCGCTTGCAGGGACCAATGGCTTCAACTGGTAGCGCATACGGTCAAGCCCCGAGTATATGCGTTGTGCCCTGTGTGCCGCGGCCCTGACATCAAGTGTCCTGCAGACAATGCAGCGACTTGTCCGAATTGTCACACATGCTGCACCGAGCTCGCGACGTCCCTGCAACAAGCCACATCTTGGCTGACAGAGAGGATAAGCACATTCTCCTGTTCGGTATCCGGCGGCAGATGTAGGTATGTCAAGTGGAAGATGAGATCAATGACCAAAATTCTGAATCAAAGCTGATCCCTTCATACTCCCTTGCGCAATGAGCATAATGCATGGTACTCGCGCGATGCCCTGCAATGATACGCCATCAGACTCATCATATCGAAGCAGTCGGCACGAGGTTCCTTTCGCCATGGACCGTTTCGCGGCACACCGTCAGTCGCGCCCATTCGACGACTACTCGTGTTCAGTCTGGTCATGTAATGCTACAGAGGTATCATCGGCTGGCGACTGCTGTCAACGTGTTCCCTGCGGTCCACAGTACAGCCCGCGTAAGCCAGAGTTTACACCTCGCTGCATGGACCACGGGCGAGCAGCTGGCTGCAAGCAACAGCCGTGACGACGTATGGGGGAGTCTTCGATTGCGGGGACTGTTGTTTCTGGATGTTCCCATTTGTTCATACAAAACACCAGGCGTGTGAACGGAGATTTCGAAGTTAAGCTCCTCTCGAATCTACTTGGTCATCGTGACCTCTGAGCGTCAGAACGTGCATGGGAAAAGTCATGCATGACGCATGAGACGGCTGGGCTAAATCGAATCACACTATTTGGACAGTTATTGCTGCGAAAATAAGTAGAGCCCCGCACCAGTCTGATCAAGCGCAAGTATGCACAGCCTGCAAATGCACGTGTGCATGCAACTTGGCGATATTGAACTGCTCGCAACCTTTGCTGATGCGGCGAGAAGGTGAAATTTCCACATTCGAACCCGCCTACACGGTCGATATTGCGACCGCAATTTGTGGAAAAGCTTCTTCCTCGTTCGCTTCTTGTAGCTGACGTCTCGACGTCTCAAAGCAAGCCCACTACGACAATACTGAAGATTAAGTTAGTTCTTCATCTTAAGCCAGCCCGACCGGCGAGGATTCAGACGACAGCATCTCTTGCAAGCATTTGGCGTTTGCAAGTCCAGACCCCGCAACCCGGTGCAAAAGCTTACGCTTTGATCTCATTGGGGCACTGGCTCAGTAGCTCGCCACAACATGGTGTGACAGCTGACTGGTGAGCCAAAGTACAGCTGACGACGTCCGAGACACATATCCGCATGCTGATGCTCGTCCGCAGTACGACTGCTGCATATAGATCCTGACACATGCGGAATAATTCGCAGACAATGCGCAGCCATCCTTTTGGTACTCGAAGCATTTAAGCATTTGGCAAGGCATTAATCCAATGCGCTTCTGCGCAGTCCTTCCTGTATGGAAAAGTGACACACCTAGCACGCTCTAGGTGCCGGTTAGTTCCAACGTAGCTTCTTGGGACGCAGGCTATACAGAACCACTTCCTACCAAACTAAACGAACAGATACCACAAGTCGCCTTCCCGCTTACACATTCCAAAACCCTTGTGACTTCTAAAAAGACTTCGCTACCTTTGCGCATAGTGTACTGAGAACTGCGTGGCATTTGCCCGCCGCAGCATCTCTCCAGCCGGTTCTGGGCTAAGTCTGTTCGAATAGGAGCCCTGGGGTCAAGCTGCTTTGGCCGCAGACTACAGCCCCTACAAGTTATCGCTCTACTCTGCCGTCTCCTCACTTCCATCTGCACCTTCTTCGGATGCATCTCCGCCGGCGGCATCTCCGGCGTCATCTCCGTCATCGCCATCGTCACCATCATCGCCGTCACCTGCAGCCGGAGCCATCACCTGGACAGTACATGCTAATGGCGACGAGAACAGAACTAAAGAATGCCAACTCAATTCAATTGAGACTTTCTAGGGGCAGCACTCTGCCATCTGTGACATAGATGGTGGTAAACCTTAGCAGATCAGCGCTGACTATGGGTGGCTCAGCGCTTTCTTTCCCAGCGCGAAGTGCAGGAAGTGCTGTGCGATATAATATGCACCTTCCAGACTCATTCCGGGCATTCCTTCCTTCCAAAGTTTGCGTTAAGCAGAAAAAGCAGAAGAGCTGCCGCAGCCATACTTGTATATTTGGCAGTGAACGTATGAGTGTGACGAAACCATATCAAAACATCTATCTGGAATGTTCCTCATGCATGTTCCTGTGGGCAGCCCTGTACTTTGCCACCGGTTTTGACCGTTTCAGTATAGCAAGTGAACAGAGTTGGCTCAACCTGGGCCCTAGCCTGAATGCAGGTTCGTGTGTGATGTAACGAAGAAACCCTCGAGCAGAAACAACAAAGACCAATTCTACAAGAATCAAGAATGCAGAGACGGTGATGTCGTGCAAGAAGCCCACAAAGTCACAAAGTGGATGCATACTGCATGCTGCAACCCAACCAACACATAATGTAACGAGAGCTCCTGCCAGAGCATGTCCCCAACTCTCCCACCCTTCCACCTTTACCTCCGTTTACAGTCCAAAAACAGTCCAACAAGCTGGACATGTGTCTTTGAAGACAGCCTTGTTGGAGCCAAGAACTTCCGGACACCAGGCCCTGAGTCCAGGACGCGCCGAGCATGACGACGCCGAGCATGAGAGCGTACAGGCTCCACCTAGAGAGCAGCGCGCGGGAGTCTGCTCTGCTGCTCTGCTGCTCTGCTCCAAGGCTATAGGCTATAGGAGTGGCAGTGGCAGCTCTCCGGGCTGAGGCAGCATCGTTGTCGTAGACTTGGCAGCTCTCCGGGCTGCTTTGGGATCCTTCTTCTTCAGCTTCTTCACCTCAACTTGGAAGGGGCCCAGAGACAGAATCGCATACTGCACCGCAGAGACACGCCTGCGATGCTTGGTAGACGCCGTAGCCGCCCAAGATCCTGCCATGGGAATCGCCGCCGACGGAGCAAATCGGTGCCCATCCCGACATCTGCACAATGCAATCAGCGGCAGAAGTGCGGGCAGAAGAATGCGGATACGATGGCCCAGGGCATGTAATCCTGGCACGTGAAAACAGCGGTCGGTCTCACAGTTCTAGGTCCTTCTAGGTTTTCGATGCCAGCTCCCACTGCCTTGATACCATCCTTCTCCGTCGTCCTTTAAATGCCGCGCATCATTTGTGCGCAACAGTTCTTAGCAAAGCGGCCCATGCCTTGAGGAGACCTTCTCCGGCGCACTGCTGCCACCACAAGACACCAACTTGTGCCTCGATTCGGAATGTCTGGAAACACACTCGACGAAGGTGCTTCTCTTGACCCTGCCCTGTCAGCTCCAGCATGCGGTCGGTCTTCAAGCCTTCCCAGACAGAGGCATCCCCTTCAGTCCACAGCAAACAAATTCAGAGCCTGTCACTTCTGCCACGAGGGAGGCGACTGCAAGGATGATGCTGAACCATCCGTTGATCACGCCAAGCCTCTCATCTAGTTTCTAGCCCAGCAGAGCAGTACGACTTCGATCGAGTCTACATTACAAGGGGCGCACTTGCCACAGTAGCCGAAGTTAGCGAACATACCCTGGAAGAGGAGCCAGACCGCATACCTAAGGACCGCATGACACGTGGCCCGCATGCCCCATGCGAGAAGGCTGCGATACCCACATCTGAGGGGAGCACTGCACAAAGTTTTTGGGAAAGCCACCCACCTGCAGTTCCGCCAACATAAGACCCGAAAATCATGCGCCAGAATTCAAGGCGGGCCTGGAGAAGCATTGGGCGATACATGAAAGTGCCGAAAATTCCCATCAAGAGTGGCCTCAGCCAGTATGTTCTGCTGAGCTGCGATCTCCAGGTGCTCTAAATCCGTCGCTTTCAGGTGCTGGCACAAGCGACGGAAGCTGGGCCATGCCTTTAAGAATATTCGTGAGGTGCGATAGGAAGGTTTCTATCGACTGCCTATGTCTCGTTTTCAGGAGAATTGCCTTGCTCAGGAGATGTCTGAGCTGCCAACCGAAATTCGACGCCCACTCTGAATTGCAGTCAACCCATTTTGCTGCTGCCGTGTCTGACCAGCCTGGAGCTTCAGGACGTATCACCCAAACACTGTGTTGAAACGCTTCGCTGAAGCGCTGAGGCGCAAGCCACACTCAGACCATTTCAGCTTGAGCACTGGGTGATGGTACCAGGTCTCAGAGGCACAGGCGGCTGACTGCAGCTCGAAATTTAGAGTGCCAAGGCAGCAGCATAGACGATGCCGATGATGGTAGTGAACAGCGACGATGCCAGGCCCAAAAGGCCCAGCACGTTCCCAAGATCCTGAGAAAGAAAATACGCCCGTTCGCAGTTCTGGGACTCGGACTACGTTAAGCCCAGGTTCCGAGAATCTCAACCCTGCCATGCCGCTACACCTGCAGTGGGGGTAGGGAGGGCAGGCCGCTCGATGCAGATTCTGCCTCCGGCCCCGGCCTAGAATGAAGTTCCCAAAACCGCACCGCCAAAAGGGCTGTGCAGGGAAGCTTGCCCTGTCCGAGCAAACAGCTGCAAGAAAGCCCTACTTGTGGCGATGCTGCGAGCGGGCGAGATGCTTGCAACTCGGATGTCCAAGCTCCGCAAAGCTTCGCCAGTATGCTGACTAAGCATGTTTGGAATCACAGGTTTGTTAGATCATCAACAATGAAACACTAGCCGGCATTGTCGAGGCATCCGTTCTTATTATTTTGGCTTTCCCTTCTTTAAAAAAACCAGGGGAAAACAGACTTGCTCCAAGGAAAGCCGTCAACTCCCGAATCAAGAAGTCAGTGCTAGTCGATACCATGGAGAACATCTGTCAGCGAGCGCAGGTGCAAACCATTTCCACAACATCGCGACGGTTCTGAAAGTTCCGCAGTCATTGAGGTTTGGACAGTCTTGGAAAGCGCACAACTTTTGGACTGACACAAAGCATTCCGTGGATTTGGCTTGTTAAATCAGGCTGCGGCGAAAACACACCTCCATGCTTCCCATTCCATTTTTCTTCAACAAACCGGTTTCGGGCGTTTGCGCCATTTTCCGGCAGGGCTGTCTTCAAAGCCACATCAGACAAGCGAACCTCGATCATTGTCGCTGCAACGTTGCATTCCAACAGCTCAACAAAATGTTGGGAAGGCACATCAAAACTTAGTCAAGCCCCAAAAAATGCAAAATCCAGCCCTCGAATGTGTTGTTGTAACCTGCAAACGGAGAACTTTGCCGCCCAATCACGGAGTCGTCTGCCCACAAACAACAAGGATGCAAAAGCGCAAACTCTAACCTTGCAGTACAAACGAAATTCAGTTGCTTCGCTCGAATTAGCATTTTGAATGACTCCGGCAACTTCTTGGCCTTGTCGCGGGCTGTAGAAAAACAGAGGTCGGAAAAAAGACATGCCGGGGTCAAGATGGAATGGACCAAGCGACATATTTTGGGGTTAAAAAAAAGAGCAGCTCTTTTCGAATCGTGGCCACAGCAGTGCCGCGTGCCAGAGTTCTCTGTTGAGGCGGCGCAGAAGGCATCTCTTCTTCCGGGCTCCGGGAGATCTCACTTTGTCAAGACAGTGGATCCTGTGGTTCAGCAACACGTCGTGCGATGCATCATGTACTATACGCTGCTTTAGCGGCGGACCTCTTCAGTGAGCACTGCGATGGCAGAGATCGCCGCCTCCTCCATACGTAGCCCAAAACTCAGCCTCCCCCATCCGGACGGCAAAATGCCAACTTCCGTATGAAGTCGGCCTGGCTCCTTAGTGAAGACAGAGAACCTTTCTTGGGCATCGATGGAAGGCTCCGTGACAAAGATGACGCCCACTGACTCACGCGTGCGCCTACAGCAAGGGCTGCCTGGGCAGGCACAGTGGACGCAAAGGACCACACCGTATCATCTAGGGCAGGCATTCCAACACCAGAGGATGCCTGTAGATCTTGCATATCAAGGCACAGATCCTGCAAGTCAGCGACCTCAAACAGTGCAGTTGGAGCCGCATCGTGATCCGACAGGATGATATGTTTGCCTGGAAGCAGGGTCTTGAGCACTCATAGCGCGTAGACCTTGCCCCACCAGACAACCGTTCTATGCAAGCTAGTGGCTTGCCGTAGTGGAAAGAAGTTACACAACCGCTTTGGCTTCCTCATGGCTCAGACGGCAACATACGTTGCCGGCCAGGTGTTGGAACGACATGTTCTCCGGTGGTAGTATGCGCTATGGCAGTCCAATTGTTCTACACGCACCCCGTGGTCAGCGGCGTAGATACCAAAATTCATCAGCCCATATCTCTGGCTCTAGCTTCCATTCAGCATGCGATATCGCGGACACGGACTCAATATGACCATACACGCCACACTTTGCCGCATATTCTTAAATGCTGCTGGATTGGTCGGCATAATGGCACGTCTGTGTCAGAGGCACTTTTGAAGTACCTCTCCACGAAAGCTTCTTGGCTGCGGCGCATATGGTTATTGCGAAGCCACAGCGTCCAACGGATACCAACGCATGTTAAGCAAGAATTGCACATGGCTTCGCACGCGTTGCGGACAAGAGTTGAAAGCGAAAGTTGGAGCGCAAACAGAAACATAGCAGAACTTAGGAGCGGGGTGCATACGCAGCATGCATCAAAGTGGAATTGGCCAGCAGTTCAGTGTTTGTGATCTGTGCAGTGTCACGGCTTTCTTTAAGCGTTAAAACCCAAACGCGCCTTGAGGCACACTTCTAGGTTTAGTAAAAGGAGGTGCAAGCCGACTGACTGACTACGTCACGCAAGGCTACAGCAGTGAAAGCTAACAGCACTTTTACACCTTTCGTCGCAACCAACTGTTCACCACGCGCTTGTCACGCAGTGCAAGTCTTGAGCCAAAGTGAAACGGGGCGCGGACAGAGACTTCAGCACACTCACTTCCGAGGTAAGTCCTAAGGACTCCTAACGGCTTCTCTGCACTGGCAACTCTGCTACACGGCCCAGGTGTTCCCCGGACTTCGTCTAGAAGTCCGCTCTCACAGCAAACAAACTGAAAACACTCTGATGTTCATCATGCTTCAGGAAAGTTCAGGGAAACACCATTCTTCGTGAAAACTCGTGAGGAAAACTCCGGTTGGACACGCTTCTGACACTGATAACTTTCACCGCAAGGTGAGACAGGAAGCGTGAGCGCAGCGACCGACAGACAGACAACTTTTCCCTACTCCTACCGTTCACAACTACACCTAAGGTTCTCTAAAACTCACAAAGGAGAAAACAGAAAGTGTTCCTGACCTTGGCGAGACACAGGGGCACCATTATAGGATTGAAAATCATTCCGGTGGCGCGAGAAGTCCACGGCCAGAGGCCTGTCCGAAGAAACCCTGAAGCATGCATTAATTAAAACTGGCTGTAGCAAAGCCAGGGCTAAGCGAGTACGCCTTGAAGGCTCCAGTACAACCAGTAGCCTCAAAGCCCTATTCAAAATCGGAAGACTGTACAGGAAGGTGTCTGGCTCAAGTAACCTCAGGCCCCATTGGGCGAGGTAGCGGTTGAGCGACCTTCATAACTAACTCACTTAGCTCAGTTGGCGGCCAAGAAGAAAAGGAGACCGTGCAGCTGCAAACCAAAGTAGCTGCAAAACAGGTGTGTCAAGCAGGTTTACACTGTTGCAGTGCAAACAGAGGGATGGGCAGCAGGGTACACACCTGCACACACTGCACACTCTTGCACGGAAGGCCCCCCCCCCCTGTTGACTACACGTACCCTGTACTGGCCCTGCACAAGCTTCAAGAGTACGAGCCTCAGCCCAGCTGGCGAGGCGTGGTCAGAAAACGGGGCTCCTGGGCACCGCAAGCCTCAGCCCAGCTGGCGAGGCGTGGTCCTGTACGAAACAGCGAAGCGGCAAAAGCTTTCGTGTTCCTGCTGTCAGATCTCCTGCTCCTTAAAGACACACCTGAAGAGATTGATCACCTGCCAACTAGCTCTCAAAGCAAAGGCTCAAAGCAAAGGCTGGACACTCGGGCTGACCGGACCGAGGATCCTGCAGAAAACGGGGCTCCTGGGCACCGCAAGCCTGCCAGAGCACGGAGAAGCGGAAGCAGGCAGGCTACGAAGCAAAGGCGATGCTGAAGTACAGTGCTTGAAAACCATTTTGCAGAGCAACAAGGCTGTCACGGCCTGCTGCGGGACCTTTGGTCCAGGTCAGTGCCCAGGCTGAGCTGCACCCTTCCACAGCCTCGGGCCCTCAGCCCTAAGGCGAGGGCCCAGGAGGCAGTGAAAAGCAAAAGTTCAGGCGGCCTTCCACTCGACGGCCAGGGCAGCTTGACTCACCTAGTAGGCTAGTCACCAAGGAAAACTCCCTGCTGTAGCAGGCACCACTTGTAGTGCTGCGTAAGGAGTGGTCGTAGCCGTTGCAGCACCTCCTCAGGCGAGGCGTTGCTGACAAGCTGGAGTAGCTCCTGAAAGTGGTCTGGAACACTCCTCTTGACCGCGCTCCAGAAAGCCGAGGCACGCTGTCTGTTCGGCCAGTGTGCCCTTTGACCCTCCCATGGAAGCCAGTCTGCGGTGTCCCACATCATAATGAAGCCACGGGCATCAACACCAAAGTTGAAAAAGCCAAGATCCTTGAGATTGTAGAAACGGGAGGCCTCCGCAGTCAGTGCCATCATGTAGCGGACCATATCAAGGTCCGGCGGAGCTGGCCTCCACACCGAAAGTGGAGTGAGCCTAGACTGCCTCAAAACATGCGTGGAGATGATATCATAGCAGCTCTTCCAAGAAAGCGTGAGCAGGTGAATACCCGCATCCAAAGTGCACGGCACTATATGAGGGAGCAGTCTCCAAGCTTCCGGTTCTGGCCCGTGACCTTGTGGAGGCGCCAACTTCAGAACGTGTTCCGAGGAGCCAGGGTCAACGTAAACTGTCCGGGACTTTCCGAACCCCAGCCGTCTCGCTCGAGCAGCTTTTGTTCGCCCACCAGTGACAAAGTCATGGTAAACTTCAAGGCTTTCCGGAAGGCACTGGTAGTGGTTCACCGGATGCTTCACCTGGGGCGCAGCTGCACATAAGAAAGTGATTAGGCCATCCTCATGAAGAAGAGGGCCAAAGTCACTTGGGCGATCTTTCAGCGCGACTGCAGGCTGTGGTGTCTCACTGCTGTCAGATTGAAGACAGTTGCTGGAGTCGTCCTGGTCCACCGGTGGCTCTTCAGCTTCTGGAAGTCGTTGCAAAGGTAAGCCTTGGCTGCTGGATGCAGCAGCAGTAGGGGGTGGAGCCCTCAGCCCTAAAGGCGAGGGCTCCTCCCGTGCTGGGCCCTGGCTGCTGGAAGCAGCCGCAGTGGAGGGAGCCATCAGCCCTGAAGGCGAGGGCTCCTCCAAGTCGTACGGCAGCTCTTCAGCTTCACGATGTCTCGCCTCCGCACGAGGTCCTGGTGGAGGTGGTGGGGGCGGCCAAGCCTCCTCAGTTCTCCTGCCAGCGTGCTCATATTGTTCGCGGCGCTTCTTCTGTTTGCGGGCTTTCTTACGTCCCCGCTGTCGGTCAATCGTCGCCGCTGATTTCCATGATAGTCCCCGCTCCTCACGGCGGAGTTGCGTGGATATGTGCCGCCCTTCTTGCTTGGGCGCCATGCTTAGCAGGCCTTGGGCCTAAAAACGAAGGGTGCGCTGTGTTGGGTCAGCCTTCGGTTTTGTTTTGGGTTTGGGTCTAGCTGGGGCCTTGGGCTTCACTGGCGGAACAGCTGCTGGCATGCCTAACTGAGATCGCAAACCTACAGAAACGGACTGACCAACTGCTCCTTGCACTCCTGTGGACTGAGTGACCTCGCCTTGGCACTCCGGCAACCTTGGGGCAGCCGCTGCAGAGGAGGCGACGGGCCCAGCTGGAGGGTTGACCTGGGCAGCGCTCAAAAGGCCAAGCTTAGGAACTGCAGAAACACGCTCTGGCATAGGGCCGGCACCGAAGGTGCTGGCAGATTGAAAAGCACTGGCAATGGATCGGGTGGAGACTCCACCAACCTGTGCGCAAGCCTTGGTGCCACTGTTTACTTTACGCCCTAAGCCTTTACATGCAGACTGAAGAAGGGACGAGGGCGAGACCGCGCCAAGTTTTATGCAGGCCAAACACTTGGCACACAAAAAGTGAGATCCTCGATTATGCATGTCATGGCTGGGGTGTATTTTCCAACTGGGCGGCACAGCTGCAGCAACACCACGGCACGGGTGTGTGATTTTGCGAATGACATTGTTCAATATATAAATTGCATTTTTCGCAATAAACCGAGAAGTTGTTGGCGGCCTTAGTCTCGCGGGCTTTCCAATCATGACCAAGTGCTGGATCAGGGGAGTCCAGCAACTGCTTCAGGCGCTGTTTTTTGTTAGGTAAAGAACTGTTCTGGGTGGTCGAAACAGTTGTCGCCCTTGCCTTAGATTTCTCAAACTGGCTCTGGGAGTCTCTGGCGGCTCTGGGAACAAAACCTTGCGTCTTGTCCTTAATCAGTTTCTCAGCCCTAGAGGCGAGAAACTGGTTTAGCTCGCGCGCAACCCGGTCCAACTCCTTCACCTTGCGCACAAAGTGAGGCGAAACGGCCTCTGCAGCCCTACGACCCGCCAGGGAGTCAGCCTTTTCGTTGAGTACTCGTCGCCGCTGCTGAGAAGGGAACTCCTTCTCGAAGGCTTCGGGAGTGCAGTGGCTCCGTACCCAGGTCGGCTGGGCTCGAGAGCGATCCTGCCAAACAAGCCCCCAGTCCGGATCATGCTGGACGGTGAGCTTGCGGGCCTGCAGCGCCCGGATCGCAGGTTGACAGTCACTCGTGAGGTCGAAGCTGCCTGTGGTTGCTTTGAGTGCTTGAATGATCGCGTAGGCCTCACCTTGAGGCACAGTGCTGCCCGGGGGGGAGCAAGCCTGAGATTGTACCGATTTCTTTCAGGCCATCCTCACACTTTTCACATAAGATAACTGCCCAGCCCACGCATCTCAAGCGACTGTCCCTTGTATTGGGTCCTCCGCTGGCATCGGTGGACACAAACAACCCCTCGGCATTTACCGGTGGATGGCAGAAGAGCCCCGTGACTCGAGTTTCGAGCGCTGCGCTAGACAGCTGCGGCGTGGTCCAAGCTCGGGGAACCATACCCCTTAGCCAAAAACACGGCTCCTCATGGCGGCGCTGGAAGCCCCGGAGGTTCGGGCTAAGTTTAGCAGGCGCAAGAGGGCACTCGTAGTAAACATGATGGAGAGAATTTTCAGCGCCACAGGAGCAGTGCGTTAGGCCGCCATTACCCGAGTGCAGGGTGCGTCCTTGCCAAACTGCATGAAAAGCCCATCGTGGGGACGAGGGCTTTGAAGCCTTCAAAAGTTTCCGGTGGACTGACCAGTCGACGCCCTGCTGGGCCCCGTGAGCCGTGGGTACCGCACCAAACCGGAGCGTTCTTTCAAGTGCGACGACCTGAGTGAGGAAGCGACGAACTGACAAGAAAAGGGCAGGATTAGCGACATCAAGCAGAAGAACCCCGCTGCTATGAACCCAGCGCAGAGGATCACTGACATTAATGCGCAAGTCAATGCAGTATTGAACCATGGCGGCGACCGGCCCGGCAACACACTTCCAGCCATGCACGGCCGCTTCCTGTCGCGCCCAAGCCACCTTCCATGTGCGTCCTAGGATCACCCAGCCCTGCGCCGTGGAGGGGCCAAACATACGAAACAGGGCGTCAGCCTGCGCTAGAACAACTGTAAGCAGGGGGTCCTGGCACTGGAAAGACATACAGTCGAGTGACACATCTACCGAACCCCATTTGGACCGTCCGACGTGCCTAGAGATGGAAGAACGGATAACCTTAAGCCGCTTGGGGGAAATCCCCTGTCCCTGACATCCATAGGTCTCGGCCTTGAGGATGGAGGTGGCGTACAGCCTGTGCGCTTTACCCCCAGTACGGAGTCGGTGAAGTTTTTGGTTGCGTGCGCGGCCAACCTTAAAACGTTTCAAGGCTTGTGTTAGTCGTCGGCGTTTGGCGCCTGCTGAATCAACTCCCAGATCGCGGACCAAGTCCGCAACCTGGGGATCGGCATCACCGCGCAGGCTGTTCAAGGCTTTCGTCGCCTGAGCGTTGTTGCATACAAACTTTGTCTTGACTTTGTTGATGCGAAGCTTTTCAACTGACAAAAGCTGTTCCAGCTTCCTGGAAGCTGAGAGAGCAAGGGAGGCTGCGACCTCCGGATCAGCATGTGACACATCAACACTGATGTCGTCTAGCCACAGATCAGCGTGACTAACACCCGGCTGCTGAGAAATGCCCTGCAACGGGGCATGAGTGGTGAGTTTGGCAACCGTGGGCGCGTACGGGCACCCCTGCAAAATGCCCTTTTTGGGCCACAGAGCTACCGTGCTGACGCCTTCTCCGTGGAGACAACGTGGCCCATGATATAACTGAAGACATAATTCCAAAAGCATAGGTGGAAATGCCAAAGCTTTTCCCTGGGCGATCAGGCGGGAAAAATCAATACCATCATAAAAGCCTTCAAGATCAACAAATAAGGTGATGAAGGTGATTTTGCGAAATTTGTGGTCTTCAGCTTTTATCAAACGGGATAATGCTGGGTCAAGTGAGGTGTGCCCTGGTGTAGCAGAGTCGAAAGGAGCACAAGCAGCATACGACTTCAGCCAGCTCTCCAGAAGTGGGCGCCTCAGTTTGCTGTAAACTCTCCAAAGTACCGAAGTGAGCGAAATGGGGCGCTCTTTCTCAGGGGTTTTTGCCAGGAGGGCTACTTGGACCGTTAGCATTTGAAGCGGCAAGGTGAGGTCCGCCTCAACCCGGGAGAAAAGCTCGGCAAGCTGCTTATAGCAGAAGTCAGGGAGATTTCGCAAAGCCCGGTACGACCAACCGTCGAGGCCGCCTTTCTTATTACCTGTGGCCAAGCACACTTTCTTGACCTGTTCCCAAGCCAATGATGGAAGGTCCTGTGCCTGCTGCGAGGCCTCAGCCCTCAAGGCGAGGCGCTCTGCAGAAAATTGGACTTGAGGGGGAACAATTGTCGCATCCCAAATGTGGCTCCAGAATTCCATGCGACAATAGGCTCGGGCCAGAGCTGACTGATCTCTAAAGGGCCGAGCAAGAGTTTGTTCATGGCTTTTAAGAGCTCGGTACACTGGCCCCATACCTGCCGACAGAGCCCCCGACAGCCAAGCTTGATAAGAATTGGCCTGTTCCTTTTGCTGGGCTTGCATGGCAGCTTTGGCTTGCGTCTCAGCTCGCGAGACAAAGATCGTGAGATCACGTTGGTTAGAAACGGCAGCCTCAACTTCCGTTACCCACTGCTTATGCTCGGGAGCAAGATTGGAAAGCAGCAGCAAGACTACCTGGCTAGGACCCCCGGCCTTGAACCTAGTCGCAAGCTGAGTCCAGACCGCGTGTTCTTGCCCAAACCACTGGTAATCCTGGGCTGGCTGTGACACTGCCGGCTGGCGGACCGTGGGCAGGTGAACCCCCCTGCCTGTATTCTTTCCCAACAGACCAGACGCCTCAGCTGTGGCAGAGAACTCCGCAAACGCAAGAGACACGGGGTCACTTGCTTCAATCTCAAGCAAAACGACCTGCTGCGGGGAGACAACCGTCGGTGTCAAAAGGCGCTGGTCATCTGTGATGGGGTCAAAGGAGTCAGCCAGGGTCCTCAGGTTTGGTTGCAGGTCCTGCAGCGGCTTGAGGGGAAGGGTACACATCAGAGCGGCGTGCGGTTTGAAAGGGACATCCCAAACAAGCTCAAGCGAGGCATGTGAGGCTAGTCGCGGGTGGACCAGTGCATAATCTAGCTCTGCTGCGGTGCCAGCCGTAGGCATTCCTGTTCCAAGGAGCCGGCCCCTGGTGAGGTCCTCAACCCTGGTGGCGAGGACCTCACAGGAATCTATGTTCCAGTCCCCCACCACACACCAGGGGCATTTGAGCGAGGCCAGCACGCCATACAGATGGGAAAGGACCACTGTGTTGGTCCGGCCTTCGAAGGAACTACCTGACTCGAGATACAAAGAGATGAGGGCTAAGTCGAAGCCGGTCACCCGGACAGCAATCGCAACAAAGCCACAGCCCGTTTCAGGATCTTGAAAGGTATGAACGTGCCTGGCTTGCAAATGAGCCTTGACACAGACCATCACACCTCCAATTTCGCGCTTACGGGCGGGAGAATGCTGGCCATGCAAATGATAGCCTGCCTTAGCTAGGGCAACCGATTCAGCATGAAAGGCCTTTTCAGAGAGGTGGTGCTCCTGAATCAGGGCTACGTCACACTGCAGTGAAACCAACCACTGCCTGAGCTCTGGTCTCCAGGAGGTCACATTGGCCGAAACGAAAGTAAAGGTACGGGCCCGGCCTCTGGAAGTGGAGTGCACCAGGTCCTCCGAAGCTCTGGCGATGCGAGCCCAGGTTTCAAGGCTATTATCACGGGCCTCGGTGGCCTCCAGGGACCTGAAAAGAGTCCAGTATTCAAGGGTGCCCTCCTGGCTCTGCTCCTCAAGCCCTTCGGCGAGGCGCAATAGGTCAGGCTCATGGTGCCAGTCCGGATGCAGGGCTTTATATGCACTCAGGTTGAGAAGAGAGCCCCAGCCTGACCGACCAAGGCTCTTCCCAACCTTGCACACTGCAGGGGACGGTGAGCCTTGTGGGCCAGGAAAAGGTTCAGCATCCTGTGGGGTTGGCGCAGCATGGTCAAAGCGGGAACCATGCTCTTCCAAGAAAGACATGATCGGTCCCCTGACCAATGGTTTCTTCACAACCTTAGGTTCCGAAGAGGCGCCCTCCTCCGGCGAATGAAACATGGCGGGATGGAAAAACTTTGGGCCAGTCAGGGCACAGCTAGGGGATGGCCAAAAGGGACGGGACACAGTCCTGGGGAAAACAAACCCATCCTCGAGCTGGGCTGGCTGGTCTTGCAAGGGAGATCCGAGCCTCGAACCCGGTGGTGAGGCTACGGCCAGGCCCACGTCAGCACTGCAAATGCTGGCCTGAGCATGTTTTGATGCGTAATTGACATGGATTTCGGCACTGCAAATGCAAAACTGAACTCCCACGGCATTTGGCACGAAAGGGAGGCCACAGTGCCAGCACTTAAAAAAGGTGTTTGACGCGTCAGGGCTTGCGCTTGGCTCCGAAACTTCCAGATCACGCAAAACCTCACTCAGAGAAAGAACCGGAAGACAAAACCCGGGGCCCCCGCGCAACCCCCCACCTGGATCCTAAAGCTCGTCACCCTTGTCACCGCGCTTGGGCGAGCGACTGCGCGCCTTGCCGGACTGGCTGTTCAAGTCCTTAGCGTCTGCGGCGTTTTGCTGGGGTTCGGCGGCCGGGGGTGCCGTAGACTTCGGGAGCAATCCAGGCGGGAAACGATCCTGCTGCTCGGTCTTGCGGCGCTTGGCCTCATCAGCATTGTCCTTCTTCAGAGCAGCGATACTGCGCTTTTGGGCCTCAGTGAGGGTGTCCTCCTCGATACCCAGGGCCTGCAACACAGAATCTACTCCATGACTGGCCTCTTCTGCGCACTGTGTGAGAACCTTAGCTTCATAATCCTGAGTGGCTTTGTTGACCTCAGTCTGTGCTTCCTGGATGGAAGCTTGCAAGTCCTGCATCTTTGTCAGCAGGGCCCTCAGATTGGCCTTGGCCAGGTCAATGTCTTCTTGCAGCTTCAACTTACGCTGGCCAAGGTCGCGCAACTTACCGACGGAGTTGCGCCACTCAACACCTGCAGCCTTGCCTTCCTGCACTGGGTTAGGGACCGGTGCTGCTGGCAGAGCATCCAGGACTTCCTGGGGGAGATCATCACGGTTGCGCTGCAAAAGGCTGAGTAGGTCAACATCTTCCTGCTTTGGGGCCGGCACTTTAAAGCCAGCCTGCTCAAACTGCAAACACACATCTGCAGGCAAGGTGGACCACACCTTCTGAAGGCAGCTTGCTAGCTTAGCTGGCTTCGGCTGCCGAGTTCGAGGTCGCGGCCTGCTAGGTTCTCTCCAAGGTGCCTGCGGTACATCAGCGGGCCAAGGCTTGCCACACCAACTGCACTTCGCAAACTTCTGCACTTTAGAGGCATAAATCCAGCTTGCAGGACCACAGGTTTTGCACACATAGTACCTACCTCCTGCCATGACTGTTCTCTCAGCCCCTGAGGCGAGTGAACAGCCCTCAGCCCTGGAGGCGAGGGCCGGCACCTGCACGCTGGAAAGTGACTGGCAAAATGCCAGCACTGCACAAGTATGGCTCGCGAAAGGATAAGCTGGGATTCCTGTTTGAGTCCTGTTGCCCCAACGACAGTTAAGGCCCAGAGGCTCAGTTGAAAACAGCTACGCTCCCTACGCAGAACACCCACCTCTGAAAGCAGGGCTCGAGCCAGACTTGAGCCAAATGGGATTTTCATTCCAGTGGCGCTTGTCCACGGCCAGAGGCCTGTCCGAAAAGCTGCACCGAATTAAGTGGTATGCACAACCTAGTCCTGCACAGACCCTGGGCGAAGTCAAAAAGACCTCAGCCCCAAGAAAGCACTCTGTCAGAGCCCTACTGTACTGGCAAGGAGAGTGACAAGACTCCTCAAGCCCTTTTTGGGAAAGACAAACCCTGACAGGTGCTCAAGCCGAACATTGAGAGGTGAAAGCTGTACAACCTAACTGACACTACCCTCAGTCTGGCACTCAGCTTGCAGTGACCTCAGCCCAGAGGCGAGGTCACTCAGTGAAGCTAGGCGAGGCGGCATGCCGTAAAGTGCCTAGCCTCAAGCCCTCACAGCCCAGGGGTTCCTCAACCTCACCTTGCACAGAGCAGCGCCCCTCAATTCGGTACCTTTAGCGCGGGGCCCACGCACTCCCCTCAACAAGGCGCAGGGAGCGACGCTTTCCCTTCAACTCAACTTCGTGCTGGCGCAGGGAACAACGCCCTGCTATGCTCTCTGCGAGTGGAGACTTTGAAGCCCGAAGACTGCTCCCAGTAAACCTGCTGACTGCTCACTAGGGAAAGGGCAAAACTTTGAGGCCCGCACAGCAGGAGGATTGAAAATCATTCCGGTGGCGCGAGAAGTCCACGGCCAGAGGCCTGTCCGAAGAAACCCTGAAGCATGCATTAATTAAAACTGGCTGTAGCAAAGCCAGGGCTAAGCGAGTACGCCTTGAAGGCTCCAGTACAACCAGTAGCCTCAAAGCCCTATTCAAAATCGGAAGACTGTACAGGAAGGTGTCTGGCTCAAGTAACCTCAGGCCCCATTGGGCGAGGTAGCGGTTGAGCGACCTTCATAACTAACTCACTTAGCTCAGTTGGCGGCCAAGAAGAAAAGGAGACCGTGCAGCTGCAAACCAAAGTAGCTGCAAAACAGGTGTGTCAAGCAGGTTTACACTGTTGCAGTGCAAAAAGAGGGATGGGCAGCAGGGTACACACCTGCACACACTGCACACTCTTGCACGGAAGGCCCCCCCCCCCCCCTGTTGACTACACGTACCCTGTACTGGCCCTGCACAAGCTTCAAGAGTACGAGCCTCAGCCCAGCTGGCGAGGCGTGGTCAGAAAACGGGGCTCCTGGGCACCGCAAGCCTCAGCCCAGCTGGCGAGGCGTAGTCCTGTACGAAACAGCGAAGCGGCAAAAGCTTTCGTGTTCCTGCTGTCAGATCTCCTGCTCCTTAAAGACACACCTGAAGAGATTGATCCCTGCCAACTAGCTCTCAAAGCAAAGGCTCAAAGCAAAGGCTGGACACTCGGGCTGACCGGACCGAGGATCCTGCAGAAAACGGGCTCCTGGGCACCGCAAGCCTGCCAGAGCACGGAGAAGCGGAAGCAGGCAGGCTACGAAGCAAAGGCGATGCTGAAGTACAGTGCTTGAAAACCATTTTGCAGAGCAACAAGGCTGTCACGGCCTGCTGCGGGACCTTTGGTCCAGGTCAGTGCCCAGGCTGAGCTGCACCCTGCCACAGCCTCGGGCCCTCAGCCCTAAGGCGAGGGCCCAGGAGGCAGTGAAAAGCAAAAGTTCAGGCGGCCTTCCACTCGACGGCCAGGGCAGCTTGGCTCACCTAGTAGGCTAGTCACCAAGGAAAACTCCCTGCTGTAGCAGGCACCACTTGTAGTGCTGCGTAAGGAGTGGTCGTAGCCGTTGCAGCACCTCCTCAGGCGAGGCGTTGCTGACAAGCTGGAGTAGCTCCTGAAAGTGGTCTGGAACACTCCTCTTGACCGCGCTCCAGAAAGCCGAGGCACGCTGTCTGTTCGGCCAGTGTGCCCTTTGACCCTCCCATGGAAGCCAGTCTGCGGTGTCCCACATCATAATGAAGCCACGGGCATCAACACCAAAGTTGAAAAAGCCAAGATCCTTGAGATTGTAAAAACGGGAGGCCTCCGCAGTCAGTGCCATCATGTAGCGGACCATATCAAGGTCCGGCGGAGCTGGCCTCCACACCGAAAGTGGGGTGAGCCTAGACTGCCTCAAAACATGCGTGGGGATGATATCATAGCAGCTCTTCCAAGAAAGCGTGAGCAGGTGAATACCCGCATCCAAAGTGCACGGCACTATATGAGGGAGCCGTCTCCAAGCTTCCGGTTCTGGCCCGTGGCCTTGTGGCGGCGCCAACTTCAGAACGTGTTCCGAGGAGCCAGGGTCAACGTAAACTGTCCGGGACTTTCCGAAACCCAGCCGTCTCGCTCGAGCAGCTTTTGTTCGCCCACCAGTGACAAAGTCATGGTAAACTTCAAGGCTTTCCGGAAGGCACTGGTAGTGGTTCACCGGATGCTTCACCTGGGGCGCAGCTGCACATAAGAAAGTGATTAGGCCATCCTCATGAAGAAGAGGGCCAAAGTCACTTGGGCGATCGTTCAGCGCGACTGCAGGCTGTGGTGTCTCACTGCTGTCAGATTGAAGACAGTTGCTGGAGTCGTCCTGGTCCACCGGTGGCTCTTCAGCTTCTGGAAGTCGTTGCAAAGGTAAGCCTTGGCTGCTGGATGCAGCAGCGGTAGGGGGTGGAGCCCTCAGCCCTAAAGGCGAGGGCTCCTCCCGTGCTGGGCCCTGGCTGCTGGAAGCAGCCGCAGTGGAGGGAGCCCTCAGCCCTGAAGGCGAGGGTGAACTTCAACCTCCAGTCGTGTTAAAAAAAAAAACAAAAAAAATAAAAAAGATACGATAATATAATAAGAAAAGCATAAATAACGGTGCAGACTCTTCAATAACATCACGATGTCTCGCCTCCTCACTTAGGTCCCTGTTAGAAGGTGCGTGGTGGTTGAACAGAGCCAAAAACCTCACATCAGTTCTCCTGCCAGCGTGCTCATATTGTTCGCGGCGCTTCTTCTGTTTGCGGGCTTTCTTACGGCCCCGCTGTCGGTCTATCGTCGCCGCTGATTTCCATGATAATCCCCGCTCCTCACGGCGGAGTTGCGTGGATATGTGCCGCCCTTCTTGCTTGGGCGCCATGCTTAGCAGGCCTTGGGCCTAAAAACGAAGGGTGCGCTGTGTTGGGTCAGCCTTCGGTTTTGTTTTGGGTTTGGGTCTAGCTGGGGCCTTGGGCTTCACTGGCGGAACAGCTGCTGGCATGCCTAACTGAGATCGCAAACCTACAGAAACGGACTGACCAACTGCTCCTTGCACTCCTGTGGACTGAGTGACCTCGCCTTGGCACTCCGGCAACCAAAATGGGATTTTCACACCCCCTCTTGGACTGATGCGGCACCTAGTGTCTTTTGAGCAAACTTTACAAGCTCTAGACCTAGCTTTTCAGGATAGAACCCTGAATCTTTTAATTCCACCTGTACATGTTCATGCACTTGGTCACATTCCCTTTTAGGAAACACTTTGACCCAGCGTTTA